GGCCTCAAACTCAGAGGTCCACCTGCCTCTGCCTCCCGAGTGCTGGTATTAAAGGCGTGTACCACCATGCCTGTCTGGCCTATTTATCTTTAAGAAGAAAAAAAAAGTCTGGAGAGATGGCTAAGCAGTTGTAACTACTGGCTGCTCTGGCAGAGGACTAGGGCTCAGTTCCCAGCACCCACAAAGCAGTTGACAGTTGCTTGTAAGTTCAGGTAGTGGTGATTCAGCGCATTCTTCTGGCCTTTACAGGCACCAGGCACACACATGGCACACATACAAACATATAGACACTCACATATACATATAAGAATATAAATATTTTTTTAAAAGGAGCTGGGCATGGTGGCACAGTCTCTAATACCTTAATACTTGGAATGCAAGCAGTCTGTGAGTTTGAAGCCAGCTTGGTCTACATGGTGAGTTCCTGGTCAGCCAGGGCTACATAGAGAGCCCCACCTTGAGAAGCGAACCGTCCAGTTCAGCAGAGTGAACGCTCCTTTCTTGCCTTTCTTGAGCTCTACGCAGGCGAGAGCTGCAATGAGAGGGATGATTAGGGACTGAGGACCTGACGAGAGCCCAGAGTAGAGAGACTGAGAGATGAGCAGAGTTCAGTTCAGAGATGTAGAGATGAGAGCCACGATTGAGAGAGAGAGTAGCACCGCAGCTCCAGTCAGCTTCTAGGATGTCAGCATGCAGAGAGACTGTATGAGCAGCTAGAGTACTGTCAGAGAGAGAGAGTTCAGAGATGTAGAGAGGCTTCTGAGTTATTGAGTACGTAAGAGAGGCCAGAGACTTTGAGGCAGCATCGCAGTAGCAGAACCACTTGAGAGAGAGAGTACTGATGTCATTTCACACCTGAGAGAGAGAGAGAGTAGAGAGTACGAGTGTCCTGTCCTCTAGGAATGAGCAGTCTGCCTCCAGCAGCCTCTCAGGAGCACCTCTGCTTAGTGAAGGTTCCAGCACTTTGACTGTGTATGTGTGAGAGAGAGAGAGAGAGAGAGAGAGAGAGAGAGAGAGAGAGAGAGAGAGAGAGAGAGAGAGAGAGAGAGAGAGAGAGAGAGAGAGAGAGGAGGAGTAGGAGGAAGGAAGGAAGGAAGGAAGGAAGGAAGGAAGGAAGAAGAAAGGAAGGAAGGAAGGAAGAAAGAAGGAAGGAAGAAATAAGAAGGTAGGAATAAGAAGGAAGGAAAGGAAAGAAGAGGAGAGGAAAGGAAAGAAGAAAAAAGAAAAGGAAAAGAGAGGAAAGGAAAAAGAAACTAGAGGATTACAAATTTACATGAGAAACTGTTGAAAGCTGTGCCTTTTAACGCTACAGAGCTGAGTCCAGGTGTAGCTTAGGTGAAGCTTGCACGCGGAGCAAACGCAGAAATATTGCCAGAACTACAAAGTTCTGGAAACCCTCCAAGATTCTCGCATTTAGAGCCGGACCCCAATCTTGCTGAACCGGTGAGAGACAGTAGGGTGTCGCCCCAGCCCCCACCAGCTAGCCTGGGCACAGGCAGCAAAGTCACAGAAGTCACCCGTCCACCCCCATAGAGATAAACATACCTCCTAAAGTGCAACTCTGTCCCGCCTCAGCCCCGCCCTGGTACCACCCCTGCACCTTGATTGGCATGACGCCGGCTGCTGTGCGCGCAAGCGCAGCATGGCCAGCACTGGCTCAGGCAAGGTTGCCTGCTTAATTGAACTGTTGGGAGCTATAGGGCTTCAAGTTTGGTCGCATCCCGAAAGCAAATTCTGGGCAGAAAGGCGGCCCTGCTAGGTGACAACTTCGGTATTCTGAACCGAAGGCAAGGACATTGGGTAGGGTCCCTCCTTGTGGAAGGGAACAGGAAGGAACGCTTAAGAGGTGAAGGCCATGAACAATGCCATTATAAAGTCTAATAAATACGTTTTCATGGAATACGTACATACATATGTTACATATGTAAGTGTAGAATTGGGAGTCCATAAAGCATATACATGTTCACTTTTAGTGGTGTTAAATAATGACTTCAAAATGTCCGATCCCTGAACCTGACTATATTAAGTTCCAAGGCAGAAGATGATTGAGGTTGTTAATCAACTGGCCTTAAATAAGGTAATCAGCCCTAGGGGTGTAGTTCAGTAGCCGAGCACTTGCCTAGCATGTGTGAGGGCCCTGGGTTTGATTCCCCTGCACCATAAATACAAAAAGTTAAAAATAAAAATAGGATCATAATTCTGGATTGTGTAAGTGATCAAGGACTCTGATATGAGAAATTGGAGAAGCACATAAGAGAACCAGAGAAATAGTAACATAACAAAAAGTGGGTTTTAAAATAAAAGGAGGAGTAGTCATGGTAGTATTACAAACTATGTAGTATAGTAAAAAAATGCAGGTTAGTAGTTAGTCACCTATAACAGTCTAACTTACAGTCATGTTAGGTATGTTTCCAAGGTCATACTGAGATATGTACTTTAGATAGACTGTCTTCAGACACTTCAAAGACCTACAGAATGTGGTATCTAAAATGTTTTCATAACATAAGGCTTTTCATGACAACGAGACATGACCTGGCAGCAATAGTCTACTTCAGAGAAGATGATGGGCATCAAAGAACCTCCATACGGAGTTTTGTCGCGTCTGCTGCGCGGCCTGTGTCCGAGAACGTGCGGAGGGTGTCAGGGATTGACAACACAGGGACTCGTTCAACAATGTAAAGAAAACTTTAAGCAGCCGGGCGGTGGTGGCGCACGCCTTTAATCCCAGCACTCGGGAGGCAGAGGCAGGCGGATCTCTGTGAGTTCGAGGCTGGGCTGGACCGATAGCCTCCAAAACAATACAGAGAAACCCTGTCTCGAAAAACCAAAAAAAAAAAAAAAAAAAAAAAGAAAACTTTAAGCAGGCCCCAAAAAGGTTCAAGAAAACTTCCTAAGAAAGGCTCCCACCAGAGAAGCTTCTGCTCTCCCCTCTCCCCTGGCTGGTTCTGCTCTGACCCCAGAAACTGATCTGGGCGTGGCAGAAGAGGTGGTTTGTCTTTGGACAAGGTCGAGGTCAGGGTGGTTTCTGTGGGCAGGCCTTTTCCAGGAACTTATTGCCCCCGGGCATTGTATTGTTTTTAGTAAACATGTTTTTAGTAAACATTGTCTTACAGCTGCCTACTCCCAGGCAGAAGGGGAAGTGGGTCTCTGCTCAAGGTCTGGTGTTCCCACAGAGTTTGCTTTCTTTGTGGTAAAAGTTAGTCACTGGTCAACAAACTGCCCTTGCCTCAACTACGGTCCAAATTGGAGAAGCAGGATGCAAAATAAAGTGACGGCCAAATTTTACTAAGACAAGAAGAGACAGTCCTTCAAAATTCCTCCTTCACAGAAAAGTCTGTCAGATATTCTAGGCTTGTAGGCTGAAGATGGATACCCCAACATTACAGAAGAACTGTTCAGGCAGCCAGCTCTTTCTGTCATTTATATAGTTTTATAAGTTGTTTTCTCTGATCTTCTTGTTTAATCAGGTAATATTATATTCTCCTCAGGTCTCTAATGGAGCTGAAGACTAGATGGTTATAGTTTTTCTTGGTTATGATAGAAGGTAATTAGGTACAAAACTTTGGACTTGCCAAGGTAAGACAAATAATGGAGTATGTTCTTGGAATATGCCAAATACAAATAGACTGGATATTGTAAATGTAATCCTTCCTTGATAATTGTTCTTATTGAATATAGAATTTCTATGTTGGAGTTAAAACCTTTTACTTTTTATTTAGATAAAAAGGGGGAAACATAGTGGAATATTCCTTTACATAGCACGAAGTATGTCACCGTGATTGGTTTAATAAAGAGATGAATAGTCAATAGTTAGGATTTCCAGGCACAGGGGATGCTGGGAAGAAGAAGGGCAGAGAAGCTAGCCAGACACGGAATGACTCAAACCCACAAAATGGAATAGAAGTTAAAAGCCACTTGGTAGAATGAAGATTAATAAAAATATGGGTTAATTTAAGTTATAAGAACTAGTTAGAAACAAGCCTAAGCTATCAACCAAGTTTTCATAATTAATAAGAAGTCTCTGTGTGGTTATTTGGGAGCTGGCTGGTGGTACAGAAAATGTCTGATTACATGGTAGTACATGTCTTTAATCCCAGTGCTCAGGAGGCAGAGGAAGGTGGATCTCTGTGAGTTTGAAGCCAGCCTGGTTTATATAGCAAGTTCCAGACCAGCCAGGACTACATCACACTCTCCATAACTCCAGTGTCAGAGAATCTGATGTCTTCTGACCTCCACAGGCACTGCACACACATGATGCACATACATGCATTCAGGAAAAACACTCATAGAAGTACAAATAAATCTTAAAAGTAATTAAAAACATAAAGGAAGACCATGAGCCAAGACTGTGAGGAAGCTAGGCAGAGTGGCACAGTCTACAGTGCCAGCACTCAGGATGTATAATCATGTGTGATCATGACTTTGAGACCAATCTGAGCTACTTAGCATGTTCCTATCTCAAGGGGGAAAAAAGGTTAAGCCACCTCTAAAATTAAAAAGACTGTGAGTGTGCCGCCCGCCTGGGCTACAGAGTAAGACCCTTTCTCAAAACACAAATGTAAACGAATGAAGTAACTACTCAGAAGAAAATGGGCCTACATTAGGGAAGTTATTAAATGCTAGGACAATAAATACAATATAGTCTACTGCTCATTCTATTTACAAGAATTCTCCTACCCCTCAACATGTCATATCTGAAATCTATATGCCCAGTTAAGAAAATAAGATAGACTCAATTAAGAGAACATAACATCATCTGCTTTTCTAAGTGGGGCTGTTTATCTAATAAATCATTCATTCAAGACATGGGCTGTTGACTATGACTATAAATTTTGCAGCTAAGAATAAGTTTATGATTCATATCCTGTTTAAAATACAGTCAGTAAAAATAGATAAGTATCATATATCACCACTGACAATAAAGACCGAGCCAGAAATAAATATAAAGATCATCAGAAAGTAGAGGTAAATACCAAACACAGGAGAGAAGAGATTTTAAGTGAAACTTTCCCAGTGCATTTTATTCACAATGTAGTTATATTCCAGATGCTGTGGGAGCAGCTGTACTTAAGTTCTTGACGGCAAGTAGAGGAGGAACTTGCTCACTTGTCCTGTCTGGTTTCACAGTAGAAGATGCCTTCGATCTGCTGGAGATTTCATAAACTTGGATGACAAGCTTTAGTTGATTAATGGCTTCCTTGTCTGCCGTCTTCATGTTAAATCCCAGCATCTTCATAATGGTTTCTCGAAAGTCGGCAAGCTATAAAGAACCACCGAGAAAATCAATATGTCATTGTCATGATTGACCTCAGGTCGTCAGGGTTGGCAGCAAGCACCCTTCCCCACTGAGCCAACTCACCAGCTTACTTTCTGTACGTGTAGTGACTTAGCCTAGCCTTAAAACTCCTGGGTTCAAACGACCCAAGTGCCTCAAGTTCTGAACTGGAGAGTCTGGGCATGTGCCACTGGGTGTGACAAACAGGCTTCTGATTTGCTTAATGATAATAACCATCTTCAGTACAAATTTCTCCATCCACCCTCCAAAGGACAAAGAAATCAACAAGGACAGCAGACAAAAAACACCCACAAAGCCAACTGAAGGAAAATTACAGCTTTCATTTTGCATGTGAGGGGGACATGGATTTTCCAAGGCAGCAGAGGCAACTCCAGAGGGCAGTGAATTTGATACGATGGTGTGATACACAGACACCTTAATCCCCAGGGATCAGCACACTGGCCAGTGGGAAATGAAAAGAAAGAGGCTTGGAAGCGTATGCGACCAGAAATGGCAGTTCTGGAAGGCAAGGTTTCTGAGGGAGACTGCAGGGTGTTCGCAAGGGAGAGGTGGATAGAAGAGAAGAGGAACAGTGGGCCTGAGGGAATACTCAAAAAGAGAACTGCAGGAGATGTGGCATGAAACCTCCACCTCCAAATAAACCGTTTCAAGAAATCACTTGCACCTGTGACACCAGCTGTAGTTCAAGGCCTGGCTGGGCTACAGAAGCAGTTCACGCCCAGCTCAGGCAACTGAGTGAGAGCCTGTCTCAAAAGGAAGAGCTTAACGGACTGGGTTTAGACCTTAGGGGCAGTGTGCTTCTCGAGCATCTGCAAGGCCCTGCATCAGTACCAGTACCCGGAAGGAGGAAGGGAGGGAGGAGGGAAGGAGGGAAAATTAAAATATGCAACCTTGCTTTCACAACAGAAGAGGGCAGTGTTCAGCTAAAATAATCATATAGTCTAGTAGAAATCTGGTAAGTGCTCTAAAGCAGAAATATGGAAAGGCTGGAGCAAATACAAGGATTTTAATGTGAATAGGGAGCCGGAGAGACTACTCAGTGCTTAAGAGCGCATGTCACTCTTCCAGAGGACCAGAGTTCAAGTCCCAGCATACATGCCGGGTGACTCCCAACCATCTATGACTGGTCAGTGACTCTGGCCTCTGAAAACACTCCACATACACAGCACATGCTCACACAGACATACTCGTGATTAAGAATAAAGTAAGCTTTAAAAAATATAGTGAATAAATAAATGACAAGTTATATGGAACTACCTTAGCACAAAAATGGAAAGACAGTATTGTCTAACCTGTTCAGGTGATACAATGCACTCACACACACATATGTACACAAATGTACACATGAATACATGCATGTACACACATATACATGCATGTGTGTATGCACATGCACACACATACATATACAAACACCAAAACAGCCATGAAACACAGGAGTCATGTTTGGAGACAGCATTTTGACAGAAATGAAATTATCAATTAAACAAGAATTTGCAGACATGGGGAGGACCTTTTAAGTCTCAAATGTATTCAGAATAGAATTGACTAGCGACTATGACCAAGGTCATACGACCAAGGAAAATAGGATTGCTGAAATGAAGCAATAGCCGCAGGAAATCGCCTCAGGAATGAAAAGTGGCAGTGTGCTGGAGGAGAAGACCCACAACAGAAAAAGGGGCATGGGAGACAACAGCAAGCTACAACAGGGCCAGGCAGAAAACGAGGAAACGGGAAAGAGAAAATGCTCGCACAACTTCCTGTCAATGCAACTTACAAAGACGGTTTGATTTATAAGCAACTAATACGGAAACATGACGCATAGTTTACAGATTGCCCCAAACCATCCACCAGGCCCTGATCCCCAGGGTCACAGAAATGGGTTTTTTTTTCTTGCTTTTTTTTTTTTTTTTTTTTTGGTAAGTACAGAGATGTTAACTGAAGCCCCCAGGAAGAAGTCACACCTGTGTTTTATGCAAGGGCGATTAACTGTTTCCATTATACAAACATTATACAAGGATGATTAACTGCTTAGAACCTAATGAGTGTGGACACATGGGATGTTGCAGCAGGTCCAGAGTCAAACTATCCTGAGCTATCTCATCCTCTTGAATGCCATTTACTGCCCACCTTTGTGTGTGATCCGACATCCTTGCGACTATTAGGGAGGTTCTTCTAGGACGTACAAAGAGGCCCCTAGTTTCCACTAACACAAAGGCTAAGACTGTCCTCAAACAGCACCTGAGACCTAAAGCAGGGTTTCCCATGTCACTATGCAACATGCCTACAAGAAACATGCACCAGTGTATTTGGGGGGGGCTGGGTAGTGTGCAGAGTGCGGGCTGCTCTTGCAGGTGACCCAGGCTTGGTTCCCAGCACCCACAAGGAAACTCACAACAACCCATGACCCCAGTTGCAGAGGAGCTGACACCTTCTTCTGGCCTCCTCAGCACCAGGCACACACGTGGGGTGCAGACATACACACACACACAAAACACCCAATAATTAAATTAACAAATAAATAGGGAGCTGAAGAGATGGACCAGTGGTTAAGAGCACTGTCTGTCTGCTCTTCCAGAGGACCCAGGTTCTTTTCCCAACATCCACAAATGTCTGTAGTTCCAGTTCCAGAGGATTCAGTACTTGCTCCTGGCCTCCAAAGACAATAGGCACATACATACATGCAGGCACACAAACACACACAACAAAAATAATAAAATAAAATATAATACACTAACACAATAAAAATAAGAAAATAAAATATAATTTTTAAATGTCTTGTCAGGCTACTGGCACACACCTACAATTCCAGCATTCAGAAAGCAGAGGCCAGAGGATCTCTGTGAGTTCAAGGCCAGCCAGGTCTATAGAGAGTTCAGGACAGCCAGAGCTACACAGAGAAACCAGGTCTCGAAAAATCAAACAAACAAAACCAAAACCAAAACCAAACCAAATCCAAAGCCAAACAAAAAACCAAACCAGACAAAATCTTACATATTTCAGCCATCCTAGTTAGTTAGAGGTTGTTTACACAAACTGAAGCTAAAATGAGCATATATCCCGCCCCTAGCCATGTTGGGGTCACAGGTAATGGCACTCGGCTGAACCTGACCTAGAACGTCTCTTGGGGTTATTGCTCCTGTTACAGAACCAAATATAAAACCACAGGTTTCTCAGTGGCCATGTTTCCTTTGACATGGGAAACAACAGCTGCTAGGGAAACAAGCTGTCACACAGACACCGAGAAGAGACGGTGTTAGGTAGCTCATCGTGGTGTCCAGGGACACCTGCCCTTGGAAGAGGCTCAGCAGTTCAAGCCAGCTCTGATGCCATTAGTCAAAAAGTCCCTTTTTGTCAAAGTCAGCTAAAGTCTAATTTGAGGTGAGTGTTGTTCAAGTCTATGAAATTAGTTTTTAACATAGTTGTAAGAGACCTCTTGCTCTCGTCCAGAGGCCCCCTTCAGTGCGCTCTTGGTGGTGGGATGCTCAGGAGGACCCCGGGCTGGTGACTGGTAGACCCCCTCCTTCTCTGATCTCGCTGCCTGCCCGGCGGAGTCTGATGGGGTTTTCAAGTTGTCTGTTTTGGCAGCTGTCTTCTCTTTCACAGTTTCAACTTTTGTTACAGATTGCCTGAGCCTCTCAATTGTCTTGTCCTGGGTGAAGACAATAGGGAAAGGGAAGGAAGGAGGAAAAGTGTGCTTAGATCTGGAAATAACAGACTAGACAACTCAACTTTGTTTTGAAGCAGGGTCTCACAATGTAGCCCTGGCTGGCCTGGAACTTGGTAAGTAGACCAGGCTAGCCTTGAATTTGCAGAGATCTGCCTGTCTTTACTTCCTTAGTGCTGGGATTAAAGGCTTGTGATACCATTCCTGGATCGCATGCCTAAACAAAAAACTTCATAAAAATACATGGGAGGCATATATTACCAATTTCTGAATTTAGAGACTATTTTCCCTTTAATAGTCATTAATAACCTAACTTGTCCTAGAAATTTTATATACCGAATACATGAAATTTAAAGAGGCTTAAAACATATTCTAAGTCTTTAATGATATTATACTCTACGTTAACCAAATATCAACACAGAAAATAACTGGCTCTATAGCAGAGAAATATCCTTGATAAACTGAATAGCAGATGGTCAGTTATTTAATGCATATTTGACTTCAGATACAACTAACTCTTGAAACAGTATAAAAGCTACATGGCCCCAAAATAGCCAAGAAATTAATTGAAAATAAAATAATCTATGAATTCAATAAGGTAAAAAGCTGAGTGTGCAACTGTGACTCCAACAATTGATAGGCTGAGGCTGGAAGGTCAGAGTTCCAGACCAGCCCGAGCTATTTGGTAGGTAGCAAATTCTGAAAAATCAAGGCCAGACTGATCTACTTACCAAGTTCTGAACAAACACCACAGTAAAACCAAAAGAAGGTGCTGGAGAGATGGCTTGGCCATTATGAATGCTTACAGCAGACCTGGGTTTGGTTTGTATAACCCACATCAGGCTGCTCACAACCTTCTGTAACTCTAGTCCCAAGGGATCAATGCCTTCTTCTGAGCTCTGTGGGCATTTGGGTGCACATGACACACAAACTCATGCAGGTGCATACACATAAATTAAAAGTACACATCAATAAATCTTTAAAAAATAGAACAAAGATGGAATGTTTTATAGTTGCAACAGTTTGAGTAGTGGCTACTTTTATAAAGTAGTGAGCTATGCACAGGTTTCAACAGGCTTAACAACATTTTGTCTGGTGACTACAGACACCCATTTTATTATCCTATAGCAGTGGTTCTCAACTCATTGGTTGCAAACTCTCTGAGGGGCCAAACAACTCTTTCACAGGAGTTGCCTAAGAGCATCGGAAAACACATATATATGTTACAATCAATAACACGAGCAAAATTAGTTGTGAAGTAACAATGAAATAATTTTATAGTCACCACAACATGAAGAGCTGTGTTAAAGGATACAAGCATTAGGAAGGTTGAGAACCACTGGGTTATAGGCTTTAATATTATTTTGTATACATACAAAATCATTTTAATTGTGTGTGCATGTGTGTGTTCCTGCATTCGTGCATGGGTGTGTTTGTGTCTGCGTGTGTGCACAAGTGCGTGTATGCACATGTCACAGCACCGTAAATGACCTCACAGAAATGAAGCTGTTCTAAGGAGACACTGTGTTTCTCAAACAATGATCCCAAAGAAATGAAAATTTCCACAGAAGCCTCAAGAAGTCACCAGCCAGAGGGGAAACGTGTCTGCTAGGAGGAAATTTTACAAACTTCTAAAAACTTGTCAGACCAGTTTATGGGATGAGACTGAGACCCAGACAATGATGGGTCAGTGGTAGGGAGGACCTCACCTTGATCAGGGACATTCCAACTAAACGTGTGTATTTAAACTCTATTTAAACTGTGATCAAATTTCAAGACCCCAAAGATGGACTTGGGGGCGTTCACTGGATCTCTGTCCTTCTTCACGATGTGACCAAACTGAATAAATCTCCTTACTTTTTTTTCTTTCCACTATTAATTTGTCTCTTTAAAAAATATACATAGTGCCAAGCGTTGGTGGCTCACACCTTTAATCCCAGCACTCAGGAGGCAGAGGCAGGTGGATCTCTGTGAGTTGAAGGCCACCCTGGTCTCCAAAGCGAGTTCCTGGACAGCCTCCAAAGCAACACAGAGAAACCCTGTCTTGAAAAACCAATATATATATATATATATATATATATATATATATAATTTATTTTACATGTATAGGTGTCTTGCCTGCATGTATGCCTATGTACCCTGTGTATGCAGTGCCTGGAGAGGTCAGCAGATGGCCAGATTGGATCCCCTGGAACTGGAGCTACAGGTAGTTGTTAACTATCACTTGGGTGCTTAGCGTAGATCCTGAGTCCTCTGGAAGAAAAGCCAGTGGTCTTAACCACTGAGCCATTTCTCCAGGCCCCTAATTTGGCTCTTTCCATTGGTTTATTGCATGGTGGAACCTGCCTTGGACCACTTAGTAAGGAACTAACAAATAAAAAGTACAAAAGTTCACTGGGAGACATGCAACTAATAGAAAGACCATAAGTGAATGTTTGAAAGCCCGCCCCCTTTACTTACTTTAAGGACATTTATTCTTGTCAGCTGAGTTTTCATATTTTTATTTGACAGTTTCAAATCACTAAGCTGCTTCTGGAGTCTCTGAATTTTCTCCTCCATTCTTGGGGCTGCAGTCATCTTTGAATTCTGCTCAATATCCAATAACATGTTTAACTGTTTGAACTTCCTGTGTTTATCTGTCTGGCCAGACCGAGTCCTGGAGCTTTCCTTTGTAGATATCAACAATATTGAAATTAAGAACTGTATTTTAATATGTTCTGGGTGAGGTTTAGTGCTAATTGCATAAGTTAAATATCTGTCATCATAAATACAAACTAATAAAATCATCAGGAAAACAAAACATACAAATGAAAATGATGGCTCAAAGCTATGAAAGGTACAGTTAAACAACCAATTTATAGTAAGTACTATGTGTTAGCATAGATCCATCCATATCTCTGAGAATATATTAAAATGCATTAAGCATTTGTATAAAGATTCACATGCAACATGATGTGCTGCAGCATAACATGTAATGAAAAAAATGGAAATTGTCAAATCAGAATAGTTAAACTATGCATGATAAAATATACATCCCCTAGAACTTCTAAAATATCCATTAAAAATAATAGTGTCATTATAAATGGAAATAAATATATATAAAAGGAGCTTCACTTATTTCAATTATACTAAAACATTCATAGAATGCCAGGTGGTGGTGGCACATGCCTTTAATCCCAGCAGGAGAGAGAGGCAGACGGATCTCTGAGTTCAAGACCAGCCTGGTCTACAGAGCAAATTCCAGGTCAGCCAGGGCTACACGTGCACGTTTTTCATGAATCTATTTATATATTCATAGAAGATAATCAAGAGAAAATATTCCCATAGAACACTGTTGCCTCAGAGTCTTGGAGTTTATTGATGTTTTGGAGGAGGGTTTATTAGACAGGTGCTCATGAATCTCTGACTGGTCGGGAACTCACCATGTTGCCGAGAGTGGCCCTGAACTTCTGATCCTCCATCCAGCCTCTGCCTCCAGAATCATGGGATTGCAGGCCTGTGCTACTGTGCCTGTTTGTGTGTTACTGGAGACAGAACCCAGGACTTCCTTTAGACTAAGCAAGCACATTACCAACGGAGCTTCCTCAGCACATGTGTTTATATCTTTATTAATTACTGACCACCTTACTGGAGTGTCTGCTTAAGCCTAATGGTTTTCTTCCTTGGGGTAGATACTTCCTGAGTATCTTGGGGACTTTAGGTCTGACCTTGTCTCATTATATTGTTTATAGCAAATTATTTCTTTTAAATCTCCTCTTCTCTCTCCTGACTCCCCCTCCCCCAGTCACCCCTCTCCCCATCCCCACTGTGAGGGAAATCCAACCAAGGTTTTAAATATGCTAAGCACAGGCTCTACTGTTGAGTCCCACCAAGAGAGTCCCTAGATGGCAAAATATTCTTTTATATTTTCCTTCTCTGTTTATACAAATTGTCTTAGTTACTTTTCTATTGCTGTGAAGAGATGTCATGATCCGGGCAACTTATAAAAGACAGCACTTAGTTGGTTGCTTACAGTTTCAGAGGGTGAGTTTATGACCACCATGGCAGAGCATGGCAGTAGACAGACATGGCACTGGAGCAGTAACTAAGCTTCCTTCTTCACAAGTTAGAGGCAGAGAAAGACTGGGCCCAGACCCAGTGACACACCTCCTCCAATATGACCACACCTCCTAATTCTTTCCAAAACAGTTCCACCAATTAGGAAACAAGCATTCAAATATATGCACCCATAGGAGTCATTCTCATTCAAATCATCACATAAGTAATGCATATTTTCACCTTCATTTAAAAAAAAAAGCTTGTCTGGGCTGTCTATTTTATCTTTCTAAAGAATAATTTACTGGTTTGTTTTGACATATATGTTGTATATAATGAAAACATGATAGACTACAATATAAGTCATTAGGATTTTTATAGCACTGAGTAACAAACAAACAGAAAATGTCACCAGACTCGATTGGTGTGATGTTTACTTTATTGCAATGGTAAGGCACCACAGACTGTCTCTGAAAGATGCACACCTAAATAATTGGTTCCTGGAATGACAGAGGCAGAAAGAGGAGTGAGACAATTATTACTGTTTTTCCTGAGCCTCTTTAAAACGATGGTAGGAGCCCAATAGACCTGAGCCCCGTTCCAGCTTTCATTGACCCTGTGGCTTTTCTGTCCATCCACCTGGAGTTATGGGTCTTCAGCGGATTGCTGGGTTTGGAGAATGAACTGGTGGCGGGCTTCCAGGATGCCTACATGGTTTATATCACAGTTAGAATGGACACAAATGGCCTGGTCCTGTATATTCATGGAGTGGGAATTTTAAGGACTTCTGCAATGGCTTTCATCACGTCACTGGCTTGCAATCTCCAGATCAAATGAAATCCGGCCAGAGTCTGGGCTAGGGACATGCAAAGTGCTGTCTGGTGAGCCTCGAGGTACTTCACCAAAGGTGGAGGGCTGTCCAGGACCCATTGTTCAGATGACAGGCTTAGCCATGCCTTCCGCACGGGGACAGGAGCCTTGCTGGGGAAAAGCCTGCTGACCTGGAGACTAGGACGCCAAGCTCCAGATCTGTTTGTGCCAGATGGGAAGGGGTGGGGTTTTACCGTTGTTCCTAACTGTATCCCTGTTTTTATTATTGCAATGCTCCGTTCTTAAATGGATTTCTAATGGCTTGATTATAGATAAAAGGTGCAGCTGCGGGGGGTGGAAACGATGTGCTATCTGTTTTCTTAAACTTTAATCAGTTGTTTTCTTAAAATTTAATAAACTTTTGCATGCACATGAATTGTTGTTTAAGAGTGGACACAGAAGGGACAGGCGTTGGTGGCACACACCTTTAATCCCAGCACTCAGGAGGCAGAGGCAGGTGGATCTCTGTAAGTTCAAGGCCAGCCTGGTCTACAGAGTGAGTTCCAGGACAGCCTCCAAAGCAATACAGAGAAACCCTGTCTCAAAAAAAAAAAAAAAAGAGTGGACATAGAAGGTATGGTCAAGCTTGAATGCTATGAGGCACATTTGTTTAATGTCATTTCAGAGTGATTCTTGGCATGGTGGCACATGAGGCTAGAGAGGCAGGTAGATCTCTCTGAGTTCGAGGCTGACCTGGTCTCCATGTCAAGCTACATAGTGAAACATTGTCTCAAAAGGCAAAAACAAACGTTATTTCAGAATGACGGAGTATTTTTCTTACTTTCATAAATGTGTACCATGGACTTTCTTGGTACTTGAGGTCAGAATAAGGCACTGAATCCCCTAGAACTGGAGTTCTAGATGGTTATGAGCCATGATGCGGGTTCTGGGAATCAACCCAGGTCCTCTGTAAAAACCACAAGTGTTAGCCAGGCAGTGGTGACATACGCCTTTAATCCCAGCACTCAGGAGGCAGAGGCAGGGAGATCTCTGTGAGTGCGAGACCAGCCTGGTCTACAAGAGTTAGTTCCAGGACAGCCTCCAAAGTCACAGAGAAACCCTGTCTTGGGGAAAACAAAACAAAACAAACAAAAATGGATGAAGTGCTCTAAACTGTGGAACCTCAATGACAGAGTTTTATACTGACTGGTCCCAGCACTTGGGAGGCAGAGATAGGTGGATCTCTGAGTCTGCAGCAAGTTCCAGATCAGCCGAAGCCACACGATAAGATTCTGATGCCCAGCAAGCCAAAGGAAACAACAAAAATACTGGTGGATGAACACCTGGAAGACCAACTTAGTCAGTGTGTAAGTGAGATGGCGCTTCCAGCTACATCGTTCCAAAAGAGTGTGCTGTAGTTTAATATAATCCTGCGAAGAGGCGCCGAAACGGAGGCACATTCTTACCCTTTTGGTTTGTCTCTTCCCTCATGGAATCAGGAAGAAGAGAAGGTCGATGGCTTACACAGGAATGACTGAGGAATGTCATCAGTAACCCCTCACAGATCATGGCATCATGTCATCTGTCACAATACCATGAATTCCACCATTAGAGAGTGACTCCTTTAAATACATTTCCTGTTCACCCCATTTAAAAGTGAATTAAGGGGGCTAGAGAGACGGCTCAGTGGCACTGACTGTTCTTCTAGAAGACCCAGGTTCAGTTCCCAGCACCCACATGGCAGCTCACAACCATCTGTAACTCCAGTTCCAGGGGACCTAACATCCATGGCAAAACACCAATGCACATAAAATAAAAATAAATTAATTTAAAGGAATTGCCATTTAAAAAATAAAAATAAAGTGAATTAAGATATGCATCAGCCAGGGGAGTTGGTATATGTCTCTAATCTCAGCTAGACTATGGAGACAAAGGCAGAGGAACCATAAATTTAGAGTTAGCCTTGGCTACATTGAGAGTTTTAGTCTAGTCTGTGCTGTATTATATTGTTAAACTAAATCCTGTCCAAAAAACAACCTATTAAAAATAAGAGTCATATTAACAAGTCCATCATAATACTTATCAAATATATACACAATAGACAAAAGGAGATAAGGAAATATGAGAGGCTTTTTTTTTCCTCAAGAAAAGCATAAGCCAGATGAGGTACATAGCTATGATCCTAGTCTTGGGAGGCTGAGATGGGGATGCTGCAAGTTTGAGTACATCCAGGACTAAGACATACACACACACACACACACACACACACACACACCAAAATAGAAAGATATAAATAGCATAAGCAGCTTTAGTCATGTTAAAGCTAATGATAAAGTAAAAAAAAAAAAGTGACCATTCCCAGAGAACCTCAATACCCTCAGGAAACTCTTACTTTCTTCCTGCCCATGTCTAAAAGAAAGGAGTTGACAGCAGCCTGTCGTTCCAGATTCTGCAAGGGTCGTTTCTGTCCCATATAACTTTCTTCAGTTTGTGGTGACCTTTCGGCAGCTTCTTCATAAAGGTGGTACAGCTGATCCAGTCTCTTTGTGAGCATCTGGATTTCCTGCTGCAGTGCTTCAGTTTTCTGCAATACACATTAAATAAAAATTCCCAGTGCTCCATGTTCCCCACACCAATCCCAACTACATACAAGTTCCACTTCTATAGACACCCAGGTGACACTGAATTACTAGAAAGATGAGTAAATTTGGCATGTACTTTTCTGTTGTGTGTACAGGCATTTTGCCTACATGCATGTCTGTGCATCACACATGCCCAGTGTCCAAGGAGACCAGAGTGGTATCAGATCTCTTGGAACTAGAGTTACAGATTGGTTATGAGCCACCATTGGGTGCTAGGAACTGAACATAGGTCCTCTACAAGAGCAGCAAGTACTCCTAGTCTCTGAGGCCTCTTTACAGCACTGGTTGTTTCAATTTTTGAGACAGATTCTTATTCTGTCAACTAGGAAAATCGGGAACTCACAGGATTTCTCCTGTCTTAGTGTCCCACATCCTCGTATTACAGTTCTGAATCATACATCTGGATATATTTATTGTTTTAAGAAATAAGTAGAAAGCCTTGATATACAAAGATAAGACATATTCATAGTGAGAAATAAAGTTGCATAATGATTTTGTTGCTGTTCTTTGTGACAGGATCTTGCTATGTAGTTCAGACTGCCCTGGAACTCACAATGTTACCCTCGGTCTCTCAAAACTTGGGATTATAGGCATGTGCTGTCATGCCCAGCTAATTCAGTACTATTAAGTATATGTATTGATCTTAGGCTGAACTACACTAAACATTTATCATCTATTAACCCAGTTAATCTTTGCAACCATACTGAAAGTAGGAATGACAGCTCTTCACTTCAATTCACAAATGGAACTAAAACATAGGGAAGATAAGTAACCTGCCCAAGAACACACAGCTGGCAGATGGTGGGACTTGGGGTCATAGCAGGGCTCTGTGACCTAACCAAGCTATAGTGTCTCCAATACAGTTAAGGACAGCCTGTTCTCTTCCTCCACTTAGTAACAAAAATGCAATCAAAATTACAAAGAATAGCTGGAGAGATGGCTCAGCACCCAACACCCAGGTAAGGTGTGGGAGGCACAGATGAGCACTAGGGGAACCAGGAATGTTAAACACACAGGGTTGTCTCTTCAAAGGGAGGGATGCAGAATCTGTTTTCTGCCCAGAAGCCTGGAACGGATATGATTAATAGCCTGGTGACCTTTGTCTTATCTGTCCAACCAAGATGAACACACCAGATCCATGCCCAGACACTTATCATGAGTTCGTCAATCTACAGAACCCATCTTTATGAAAAATGTCACATGTACTTTACAAAGAGTTTTGATGGAGTCATTTCTTAAGGTTTATTGTGCACAAGGGATTGAGTTATTTATCAACGAGAAAGTTTTTCTCCAAATTGTGACGTGCTTAAATAGCTTAAAATACACTACTCGGGGTCAGACTTTCAGCCAACACTAGCTACCATGTCATGTTGAACTGAACTACCTTCTTGCTTCCTGAGGATCATAACTCTGCTGACTGGTGTTGCAATGAAACCAAAGATCTACATATTCAGCTAATAAAAATTGGGGAAAGGGAGAGATGGCTCAGATGGTAAAGTGTTTGCTGTGTCAGCATGAGGGACCCAAGTTTGAATACACACCACTCATAAAAAGCTTAGGGCACATCTGTAATTCAATTGCTGGGGCCAGAAGATCCCTAGAGCCCACTGGCCAGCCTGAGTGGTCAAATCAGTGAGCTTCCGGGAACATACTCAAGGTCAACCTCTGCCCTCTACAAGCATCGACACACATATGCATGCATATCCTCCTGCATAGACGCGCGCGCGCGCACACACACACACACACACACACACACTAAATTGGAAAGAATACCTTTTTGACAGTACACTTACAGATTTCCACAACTGCTCATTTGCACCCATTTCCTGGATCCTCTCTTTCACTGCCTCCTCTGTGGCTAGTATAGGACCAATGCTGTCACTCAATAGAGTAGCCAACTGACCAAGGAAATCCTGGTGATGGGATTGCTCAGTGGTTGCCCAGCTGCAGGAATATGGAGGTCTGTCGAACTCAGATGTAAGTTTTTCTTTGTGGATCAAATCTCGTTGACATTTACCACCAATGTTTTGCCTATCAATTGGTCCTTCAGAGTAAACAATGTTTCTCTCAAAGTTGGAAGCTTCACCTTTGTCCTAAATGTACCAACACAGGGTTAAACTTCTCATCTGAAACTTAATATGGGCATATCTTTGTCCCTTCTTATGAACTATAAATATAGTAATAATACAAAACCTTAGGAGAAAAGACCCTTCATTAGAAACATTAAGGGTCGTGAGTTTAGCTGGGCGGTGGTGGCACACACCTTTAATTCCAGCACTTGAGAGGCAGGTGGATCTTTGTGAGTTTGAGGCCAGCCTGGTCTACAGAGCAAGTTCGAGGACAACCAGAGCTATTACACAGAAAAACCCTGTCTTGAAAAACAAAAACAAAACAAACAAGTGAGTTTGAAGCTAGCCTGGTCTATATAGAAAGTTCCACGAGAGCCAGGGTTACAAAAAGAAAACCTGTCTTGAAAAACAAAAAAAGGAAAAGGAAAAGGAAACAGAGTCACATAAGAAAAGAAACAAGGCATAGATTTAAAAGGAGGGATGATAACAGCAAAAAGTAGGAATTGAAACAGCTGACCCAAAGGCCTTGTTGATAAAGGCAAAGTCTACAGTGTATTCCAGCTCAGGGTGTAGAACAAATTTAAGTTATCATTTTATTTTATTACTTTTTATTATTTGGTTTTCATTATGAGAGAGGTGGCATATGCCATGGTACTCATATGAAATCCCATAACCCAGCCTTCCCTAGTGGTAGGACTACAGCTGGGTGCCACCCATGCCTAGCTGGAAACCTCCATTTGTAACTCCTAATGAAATGACTGATACAGGCAAGAGTCATCAGTGAATACTGAAGCCATTATGTAAAGAGCTATCAAGGAAACAAGTGTTTTCATAAACATTATACTCAAGGAGAGCTGAAACTATAACTCAGTGGCAGACTGTTTGCCTAACATTCTAGAGATCCTAAATTCAATCCCTAATAGTGAAAAAAAGTCATGCTTATCAAATATAACAACCTCAATAGTGTAAATGAAAAAAAATCATAGCTCTTATGACAAGAAAGAAAGATAACCCTGAGGTGCTTTTTGTTGTTGTTGTTAAAAAATATTCCTTGCCCAGGCGGTGGTGGTGCACGCCTTTAATCCCAGCACTTGGGAGGCAGAAGCAGGCGGATCTCTGTGAGTTCGAGACCAGCCTGGTCTACAAGAGCTAGTTCCAGGACAGCCTCCAAAGCCACAGAGAAACCTTGCCTCGAAAAACCAAAAAAAAAAAAAAATCCTTGTTGTGTATATAGGGTGTGTGTATGAGTGCAAACAGCACCTGAGCCATGGTGCAACAGTAACCAGACTTTTTCTTTTTCTTTTTTTGAGACAGTTTCTCTGTATCGTTTCTGGCCTGGCAGCCAGAAAGCCACAGAGACCATTCCACCCCGGGTCTTCTGTGCTGGGGCTGTGCCTGGCTGTTACGTGGGAGTCCGGGTACAGACTCTGCTCCTGGTGCTTGCTCAGCAAAATTCTTTCTAATGGGAACCCTCAAGTTAACTGGGTATCACAGGTCCTTGTTCTACATTCAGATGATGTAAGAAATTGTGACGGTCTAAGGAGCTCTGACTGCCTCCCCTTCTCTTTCACACGCATTTCCTCCTGGAATCCGGAGTGCTAGATGTTAGTGGCCAAAGTTGATGACCCAACAACACGCTGGCTTGCGGTACTGAAGGGTCCAGACCCTCACCCAGGCTCCAGCTTTGGCAGCCATGACAGGCTGCAGAAAAGACCCAGCAAGATGTAGACCCCTGACTCAGCAACATGTGCTGAGCACCCCCCGACCTTGCCTGACCTTGCCCTAATCACTAGGAAGTCAGATACTCTCCATGTGGCAAGGAACCAAACAGAAGTTAGCTGCCGGGCTCTGGATGTGCTTTACTGATAGTAGTGGAATGCAGGGTTTAGCAGCTGCCCTGGGATGACTTCTATGCATAGCAACCTTTCTTTCTTTCTTTCTTTCTTTCTTTCTTTCTTTCTTTCTTTCTTTCTTTCTTTCTTTCTTTCTTTTTCTGACACAGGGTTTCTCTGTATTGTTTTGGAGGCTGTCCTGGAACTCACTCTGTAAACCAGGCTGGCCTCGAACTCATAGAGATCTGCCTGCCTCTGTCTCCCGAGTGCTGGGATTAAAGGCATGAGCCACCAATGCCCGGTGCATAGCAACCTTTCTGCAGTTGCAGTTGACCAATCAGTTTAGGACAAGTTGCCCAAGCCTGGAGGTGCACCAATCCTGAGACTGTTGCTATGCAACTAGTGGACCCCCCAGACACTCTCCTTGCTTTACCCCAACATATGCTCTACCCCATTGCTGCTTGGGGTCCCTCTTGCTCCACCTGCTGTGTCAGACGGATGGAGGACCCAAGATAACTCCAGTTAACTTGTTAATTAAAAAGACCCTTTGCTTTTGCATCAGATCTGGACTTTTGGTGGTTTAGGGGATTCAGAGTCTGGGCACAACAGTACCTGTACCTGGTCCTCTACATCCAGAGACACAAAGCATAGTGTGTTCAGCCAATAATAAGAAATGGTCAGCTCCGAAATCTCACCACCCCACCACCACCACCACCACCACCACCACTATCACCCCTCCGCTTCCACATCCCCTTCCCGTCCCAATTGTTTCTGGGCTGCTTTCCTCCCTTCCAAATCTTTCTGTAACCTCACCTTCCAGTCCTCAGTGCAATCCCTCCCCCCACTGGCCTCTGGTTTATCATGCTTATTCACAAAAGAGCTGGCACCCTACCCAACACTTTCCCTTCTCTCCTGGAGCAACAGTCAAAACTCAAAACTCACCCTCACCTTTACAGGGAAAATATCCAAGGAATCTTCTGGTTCATTCAGATTCACACAAGGAGAGAATCTGCCAGAGCAGGGCCACCTTTTCTCCAGCTCTGCCTTCCGCTCTGCCTTCTCTCTTTCCACCAGATGTTCTCTGCGTGGGACACCAAATGGACAATGAAAGGTGTAAGCTAAACTCAAAGGCTTTACTTCTAATAATTTAGAAAGAAAGGGACCAGATCCTCACTCAGCCCCTGCTTTAACAGCTATGACAGGCTACAGAAAAGACTCATAGACCTCTGACACAAGGAAACTCCAGATCCTCTGGCTTCCCAGAGTCTAGGGCCAAAACTGAACACTCCAGGTCCCCTAACCCCCCCGCTCCCCCCCCCCCCCCCGTCCCCCCGCCTCCTAGATACTTGGTTCCTGGGAACTGTTTGGCCACAAAAGAAACTCTAGGGGACACCAAAACTCCCCTGTAGTCTCCAGGGGAAACTATTGGTATCTATGAACAACAGGCCACCTGCAAGTAACAAGACAAAGCTATAGAAACCACAGAATGTTCCCTCTCAGCACTGACCAATGAGAATAATTGGTACACAGGTTATTTCATGCCAAAGTATGACTTTGAGAAATTCTCCTAGTTGTTCCCACATGTCAACCAATCAGAAACCAACCCTTACCTACTGATGTAATACTGTAACTTTTGTCTTTAAAACCTAGCAGTAGACAGGGAACTTCACTCCCTTTGGAGGCTGCTGCATCAGCTTGCTAGACGGGGTCCCTGATGTGGTTGAATGAACAACTAAAACCTTGCTTTTGCATTTTGGTGGGTCTGTCTTCCTGGTGGTCTCTGGGGATCTTTACGACTTGGGTATAGCAGTCAACAATGCAATGAAACCAGCTTGACCAATTTTCAATATGGCTAAACACACATACATGTGTGTGGCGCAGAGGGAGAGGGAGAGGGAGAGGGAGAGGGAGAGAGAGAGAGAGAGAGAGAGAGAGAGAGAGAGAGAGAGAGAGAGAGAGAGAGAGAGAGAGAGAAAGGATTTCTCTGTGTAACAGATGTCCCCTTTTCCCAAATACACCCTTGTATCAAGTTGGAGGAAAAAAAATAACCAGCACACCCCGCAATCTGAGCAGGAATATGAGTTTGTATGTGATTGGAAACACATGGAAAAAGGCGTGTTGGAAAACAGACCAGGAAATCCCCACCTTAGGCGGTTCTCGAGGTCTATAACTCTCTCAGTTAGGTCCCAGCTGCCTCTTCTGAGATTCTGAGAATCTGTGTTTTTCAAAACCTTAATTTTCATTAGGGAAGCAATGAGGTCCTGAAGGTTCTTGACGTCATCTCTCAGGGACATTATCTGTAGAGACTGCTGGGCGTTACTTTCTTTGTAACTCTCTAAGTCAGTCTTCATTTCTTGCAATGAGCTTTCTTTTATGAAAAGTTTGCTTTGAAGATTTCTCACCTAATGAGAAGGGGAAAGGAAGTATTAAAATAACTTCATATCTTACTTTTAAACATTAATGATGTTAAGTTACTGTGAATATAAATTACATATTACTAGAGAATAAAATGAAGCCTTTCAAACCTACTCCTTAACAGTGTATCTTAAGGTTTGAAAACCCTTTATGATAAAATACAATGGCACAGCATTTTGAAATAAATAGTTTATTAACATTAAAACTGCATGAGTCTTTATACTTTTGTAACTACTAAATACAGAAATAATAGATTTGGGGATTTCCAGAAAGGAGCCTTAGTTGTCTTACTTTCTGGTGTGTGGTTCACTAACCCTGTCTTGGTTCCTGATCTTACTTGTGCTGGAAATAGAGGGGGAGAATACAGAGGAAGAGCAAAGACTGAAAAGACACACATCTTTAATCCCAGCACTCAGAAAGCAGACGCAGGCAAGTCTTTGTGAGTTCAAGGCCAGCCTGGTCTACACAGTGAGTTCTAGGACAGCCAGGACTATGTAGAGAAACTCTGCCTCAAAAATAAATAAATAAATAAACAAACAAATACAATGGCTAGCTGTATTTTAAGACAGATAAAACAGAGAGATTGCTTGGTAGTTAAAAGCACTAATTGTACTTCCAGAAGACCCAGGTTCGATTCTCAGCATCTGCATGCTGTCTCACACAATCTCTGACCCCAGCTAGGGAATTGCACCCTCTTTCTGGCCTCTATGGGTACCAGGCATGCATTTGGTGAACAAACACACATGCAGGCAAGCACTTATACACATGAAGTAATAAAATAAAATTTGAAAATATTTTTAAAAGATAGATAAAGGGAAGAAGAGAGCACAAAGTTATGAAGAGAATCAAGGGAGATGTGTTGCTGGGGTGGGGGAAGCAAGTTCAAGATCAGCAGAGATCAGTGAAGGAGGAAGGGGAGCAGTGGGTGTGGTGGCTCACACCAGCAGGAAGGTTACAAGTTTTCAAGGCCAGACAGAGTGAAAGCCTGTCTATAACAATAACAGTAACCAGTAACCAGTGGGGTGTGGGGGCTCACACCAGCAGGAAGGTTACAAGTATTCAAGGCCAGACATAGTGAAAGCCTGTCTATAATAATAATCATAACCATGGTAACCTGGTGGGGGATGTTCTTCTGTATATATGTTTCTCTTATTGGTTGATGAATAAAACGCTGTTTGGCCAATGGAGGCAGGAAGATAGATAGGACTAGGAGACAAGGAGAATTCGGGGAAAGGTAGGCAGGGAGAGATGCCATGTAGCCAAGGAAGGAGTAACAACAGGTCCGGACCCTTCTCCAGTAAGATAAGACTACGTGGAAATGCTTAGATGAATAGAAATCGGTTAATATTTAAGACAGAGATAGCCAATAAGAAGCCCTAGCCATTGGCTAACAGTTTATAAATTAATATATGTCTCCATGTGCTTATTTGGGGCGGAAGTGACGGTGGGACCTGGAGGGACAGAAAACTCCAGCAACAGTAACCAGTGGGTTGTGGTGGCTCACACCAGAAGGAAGGTCTGAAGTGTTCAAGGCCAGCCAGGTCTACACAGTGAAAGCCTGTCTAAAGTAATAATAATAATAATAATAATAATAATAATAATAATAATAATAATAATAATGCAAACGGCAATAAATAGGCCTACAGTGACAGATATAAACCTGTGCTCAGGTTCCAAATGTTCAATGATGTTGACTCATCAGCCACAAGATCTCGGGGTTGAAATTCAGCTGTGTCTAGTTAGGCTTTCCAAACATTTATTTTGCACTTGACTTCACTGTTTCAAGGGTCTACATGCTGGAATGACTCTGCCTGCCTGTTTTCGGGGCTCTTCCTCTAAGGTACAGCAGCCTGACAGAGCATGGCACATGCTGCTAACTAGCCCTCCAAGGCCTAAGAAGCTCAGCCCACCAGAGCCCAGAGCCACAGGCAACCCAGAGGACTGTCACAGCACAGGCTGACTTCTGATGTATCTCTCCTGTCTCCCAGGACGGGAACGGCATGGCCCTAGTAAATAGCCACTGGTTCCCATTCTAATGACCACTGAGATCTACCAGCCAAACCCAGAGTTCCAGCCCACTTCCTGTAAAGCTCCATCCCACTTCCTGTAGGCAAGCATGTGAGAAAGGGATTACTGTCATTTTGTTTTCCATTTATTGTCCAGATCTACACCTCAGGACTCCCAGACACCCTGCCATGTCTGGATCTGCCTCCTGCTGTATTTGCAGAGACCGGTAATGTGCACTTCATAGTTTCTTTGTGTAGATTCTCTTCAATAGTTGCTTGACTGTAGGGAACAAGTTCCATCCTGAGCTATAGAAGTTCTGAGTAAGTGTGCATTGTTTGACAAGAGCCTGCCATGCCAAGGACCAAAGAATCAGACCCACCCCAGGTTCCTCTTCTCCAAATAGGAGTGTTTATGAAGAATTGATCAGTGTGTTCAAAACTTGCAACTGCAACTTCATCCTTCCGGATGTCTACTGCCTGAGAGGCTGCTCCACTACAAAAACCTCCTGTGGGGACCAGCTAAGTCCTCCCGCAATGCGGGTCCATTAGAGCACGCACAGCCACCTGATCCCAGCTGCCCTGACTGTCTGTCTGTCTGTCTGTCTGTCTGTCTATCACATCTTCATTTCCTCACCACTCCTAGTTGCAGACCCAATTTTATGAGGTTAGAAATGCTTGACCCAATCAACATCTCTTGGTTTGCTAGGAAATAAAATGCATGCCTCATTGAAGATCTACAGTGCATGCCTATGCAGTCTGTGAAACTTCACGTCTAGGCAGGGCCAGCATTTGTAGAGGAGCTAGAAGAATGTGTGTCCCCTCCAGTCACAGTCTGTGGTGGGGTTTCTTACTGCCAGCATGAATGACATTGAACATGGCCTTGCATCCCTTGCGTAGAACACCGTGTTTATGGGGGTGAAGAGAAAGCAAGTGCTGGATCAGCAATGGTTTCATTACAGTTTTAGGAGAATTCCACTGACATCCTAGATAGTACAGCTGAAAAAGGAGGCATGCGAAGGAAAGCAGGTGGCTCTCAGAGGCCCAGATGCATTCCTTGCTGCTTTCAGCAACTGCAGTGGGCAACTGTCATCAAGGTCTTCTTTGGGACAGTCCTGAGGGGCTGAGGGAGAGCATGCGAATGGGGACACCTAGAGCTGTTTCATGTTAGAGACAGACAGGACGTGGCCCACAGGCCTGCCATAGTCTCCTCTTGTTATTCGGCCTTACCCTCGGTGTTATTTGGGAAGTCCTCCTCCTTCCACACAGGGTAAAAGCACGGGATCATCTTGCAGAAGACCCAGATTTGGTTTTCAGCACCCAGCACCACGACAGCTCAAAACTGTCTGCAACCCCAGTTCCGAAGGATCTGACATCCTCATTTGGCCACATATACATGCAGGCAAACATATGAAATAAAGATAAATCTTTAAAACACACTGAATTTGTATCCAATTTAGAATATTCAGTGTTATCTGTTGCCAGTGACTTCTTAACTCATTACCACCACAGCCCATCTATGCAAGAGTTTTATCTCAATACCATATTCCCTAAACTAGTCCACACAATCACCAAGTCAATAGGCTCATATTTAATCCCTTCTATATCTGGCCTCACCCAAATATAGATCTCTTGCATCTGTTTCTCCGTTATAGGACAGAAACACATTGCAATTATTTTTGCATGTTATACAAAGAGAAAAGGTTAATTATAACAAAAAATTGAAATGCACGCCGTGAAGAGGAAAACTTCCTTTAGCAAGACAATTGGGCCCCTGTGGAACTAAATGGTAGGTTTCTGAGGAAGGCAGAGATGACTCAGGCTGAGGTTCAGGTATCTTGATGGAATCACTAAACTTCCTTTTATAACATTCACATGAGGATACCATATAATAATAACTGTCACTAAATTTTTATTTGGAGGCAAGGTCTCATTAGGCAATTCAGGCTGATCTTAATCTTAGCATCTTATTTACTCCCGAGTACTGGCTCTATAGGACTGGGCAACCATGCCTAGCTTGAATTTCTTCTTTTTAAAATCATATTTATTTGTATGGGGGATGGGATGGGGCTGGGAGGCACATGCCATGGAACATATGCAGAGGTCAGAGTTCAACCTGCAGGATTTGGTTCTCTCTTTCCAGCATTCGTGTCCTGAGGATTAAATGCAGGTCTTGGCAACAGGCACCTTTACCCAGGGAACCATTTCTCTGGCTCTGGCTTTGAAATTTTTAATAAAATTAGAAAATGCCAATAGGAGTTATGGAATGCTTCTGGAGGGTGCAGTTGGAGATCAAACTCGGAGACTTGCACATTGCTAGGCACACACTTTACTATTGAGTTCATCCATAGTCCCTATGTAGACCAGGCTAGCCTCTGACATAATCCTCCTTTACAGATGCACATCACCTCACCTGGCTGGAATACGTTTTATCGTATATGGTATCTAAAACAAAAGGATCCTAAAGAGCCCTTTAGATGTTTATGTGTCCACAGAGGGTAGTTTCAGAAAACAATACTTTGAAAGCCAGGCATGGTAGTGTAATGAGCCAATCACTATGGCACATGGCTGTCGTCTGAGCTACTTGGGAACCTAGAGCAGAGAATCAACTGGACTCGTGAGTTCAAGGCTAGCCAGGACATGTAGTGAGACATCATCTCAAAACAACCAACCAAGGACAATCTTTGAAATTCTTGAAAATAGTTTACATATTTTCTTTAAAGTACCTGAAACCTTTCTAGGCAGTTTGTTTTAAAGGCTTTTTAAGGGTCAGAAAGATGACTCAGCAGATAACGGCATTTGCTCCCAAGCTCGACAACCAAAGCAACATCCCTAGGACCCACGTGGTGGAAAGAGAGAACTGACTCAGCACTTGGGAACTGAAACATGAGGATCGTAAGTTCAAGGCCAGTTTGAGATACATAGTGAGAATCTATCTTAGACAATAATCATAAACCTCTATATTCATAGAATAGAGTCCAGTA